CCCCAAAACCCCAAAACCCCAAAACCCCTCCTTTGGTAAAAAATAAAGAAAATTGTAGGAATAAAATAAAACTGTTATGTTTGTTAGGTCACACAGCAACAGGGTTGGGGCTACTAAGATGGCTAAACACCACTCTTATGCCTTAGAGGGGAGAGATAGCTCTAATAATAAGGATATTGAGAATCTAGATGATATCTTACTCGACAAGAAGAGGTAAAATGTCAATATTTAGAAATTTCATATAGTCTGAATCAAAACACCAGCGTTCCTAAGATTTCTCATATAAAGAATTGAAGCCAACCGGATTTTTCTATCCAAGATATTAGGCCAAACGTTCAAGCAGGTATGCATAGGTATCTGATTTTGATAATAGAAGTTAAAATTGGGGAGGAACAGACAGAAATATCAAGAATAACTTATCAAGATAAGCAAAAGTTCATTCGTAAAGAGATTGGCCACTTCAAAATCTGTTCTGTAAGTCCTACATATCAGATTCATAGATGCTACCAATGAAGAAGAGAGTGTCCACTGAATCAACTAGGAAGAAAAGAAGAAGGAGAATCAGAAAAATGGGATCTAGTCGGAGAATTGATGGAATGATGTCCTTTAGGTCTGTGAGTTCATACTCTCGGCAAACTTCAAGGAGGCAGAGCGTGAAGAAATCAGTCAATATCCAATCAATCTCTCCAAATGCTTCATTCAAGTTGAGAAATGGTAAGTCCTGAGATCAACTTTAGGTCAAAATTTAAGGTCGTCTGTTAGATCTAGCAGCACAAAATCCCCAAGTAAAGCTCATCAGAGTAGTATTAAGAAACTATCATTTGGTGAAGTGATGCAATTGAGAGATCCATATCCTTTTAAGAAAGCTGATCAGGGAGAAGAAACACAGAAGTTGATAGAACTTAAATTAGCTGGAAATGTTACATTAAAATCTGCTTCACAAATTTCGGTAATTTTAACAATAATTTTAATAGAATGATAAAATGTTCAAGCCCAAAACAGCTGTTGAAGAAAAAGATATTATTAGGGAAGAAGAAGAGGAATTTTTGCTAAGAAGCCATAGAGAAGACACCCTAAACACTACTCATAACATCTCTAAAGAAGTAAGCTCAATGAAATTCGTATTTTCATGACTAAATATGGAATAAAATCTTTGATTTTGTCTAAATTTGTGAATATCCCAACTATGGAAAAATCCTGTTATTTTACTCGTCATTAAATTTTAAACCTTCTAATTCCCCTTAATCTCTCAATATTTCGACTCATTTTGTTGTAAACTCTTACTTTATCTAACATCTTTGTATAGCCATCGAAGGTAGTGCTCGAGAATAGTAAGTTACCACTAACTTTTCCTAGATGCTGAGTCAATTACCAGAGAAGTTCCTCGTAAGATCAGGTCAAAATCTTCATATATCCTCACACTAGGTGGGAATATAACTTATAGGCACATAAAATGGCTACTGACTTGTAACTCTGAAGCAAGTCATACCCAACAACATTATAAAATTTTTATTGCCTCAAAAATAAACTTGCATATGGAGAATTTCAAAATCTTTCTTCTCAGGATATGCCACCTTCCTGCTTATTTTAGGCCCAAGGGTGTTTCTGTGGGCTAAAGTAGCTATCCTTATCCCTTCCTTTCACCCCAGGGTCATAAATATCCCCTTCTAGGCAAGAACACATCCCAAGTCCGCCCGAAGACCACCAAGAAGATAAGGTAGTAAACCCTAGCAAAATTTCCAGCTAAAATCCTAAAATTTCAAAATTTTGTTCCTAATAATTCTAAATTTTCTACTGTGTAAAAATTTAAGCAGATTTTTGAGGGATTTTAGTGGGCTAGAGCAAAATTAGAAGAGGTAGACTGCGTGTGGAGGAATGTAGGATGCAGATTCTGTGTTGCTTAGTAACTGGTGTGTATTGGATGGCACAGTTGTAGAGATATCAGGAATTTTATGACGACTTTTAGAGAGATTTAGGCCAATGGGTATATTTGCGTAAGAGATTGATGCATAGGTCTCTTGAATCTATCGTGACTTTGTTATATCACCCAACCAAATCCTATCTCTTTATTTTTTGAGTGTAAATATGTTTAGGGTCAAATTTAACCAAACTAATTATGCCTCTATGTCTAAGCGAGCCAAGGATCTCATGAACTCAGTACAGAAAGGAGGGTAAGTTTCAAGATAAATTTCTGGATTAAAACATTGTAGAGATTAATACAAATTAATTAAGTTTATTAGAAAAATGGAAAGAAACAACAAAATTTTCATAGATCCCATACTGTCTTTAAATATTTTTATGGCATTTTGAACCCCAATTTATGGTAGCTAGTCTTAATATAAGAAAAATCTCTGCTTCATTACTTCCCGTCTGAGCTATTTATTTATATTAGTAGGAAAATAGTTCCTCCTAAAACTCAGTTGGCTTAGTCACAGCAGCTTTAACGATTTAGCTGAGATGATACCATTTCTATGATTTATCGACCGATCTGTGATCTGTTTCAGCAGACTCCAGATTAAGACCAAGTTTAGTTTAAATTTTATTATAGTTAAAGCTGTTAAAAAACAAATCCCTTCAATTCCAAATAAAGCTTATTTTTAATCTAAGAGTCTCCAAAAGCAGATTAACAATTTCTAAAAAGTCAGACAAACGGCTTGTCTCAGCCAGACCATTAAAGTTGTTGAGCCTAGTCCAACTGAGTTTTAGGGCAAAGATACTTATTCCGCCTAATAAGCGTACATAGCTTTAACGTAAAGTCAACGAAGCAGAGATTTAGTTTTTATGAAGACTGCCTACCATACATTATCTTCACTACAATCTTTAGTTAATTCCAACTTATTGGACGTTTCAGTGCATCCCTGATTCTGCTAGGTCAGGAATAGTTCAATAAGCAAATAGCCGTATAAAAATTTATTATAGAGTCAGAGACACTAGACCAAGTTTCAAGAATAATGCTGATCTCTCCCTGGTGAACAGAACTAGGAAGTCTTACAAGGATAAAATTTGAAAATTCTTACATCATAAGAAAGTAGCAACTATTTTGGCTAAACCAAAGTTGAGAATTGACCACAAATATTCAATATTTAGTAAGCTTCGAGATTCATTGTAGACGAAAAAGATGACAAGAGCCAGAATGATGACTTTAATCTGGATATTAGCACAAAAAATCGTAAAGATAGCTTCAAGTCAAAAGATAGAGATCTAAGCAACTCTATACTGTGAAACAAGTTTTTTAACTCAAGTTATAAATCTAAGAATGATCGTGGGTGTAAGTTTGATGCTTAATTTCAGCAAATCCTTTCTACAAATATGGGACGATGCATAATTCCAGAAACCAAGAATCAGAGAAGGGTAGTAGAAAGGATCTTCTAAATGAAAGGACAAACTCTGAACATAATGCATCTCATACACCTTCAAATAAAAAGAAATAAGACTTTTTATACTGAAACAGTGCCCTCGAGGCTATACTACCCCAAGAAAGCGACTATTGAGAATCCCACAGAAAAGCTTCTGAAAGTAGTCATTTGAGTAATAATTTCTAGCTGGCTAAAACATTTGACGAGAATGAAGAAATCAACGCTGAAATACAGAATCTAAATATCAGACTGAAGAAGACCAAAGTGGATATTATGAAGTCCCTCAAGTAGCTTTCTGGCCTAATTCTAGGACCGTCAAAGGTATTGAGGTAGATGATAGAGTTAAGGCAAGGATTGACCGTGAAAGACGTAAAAATCAAAGACTTGCTAAAGTCAATAATCTCAGACTCAGAGAGAACAGTATCTCAAGAATACTAACTATAGATACTGTAAAGGCTCATAAGACTCGTAAATATAAGGAAAAGGTAACTCACTTGCGAACTTCTAGATGTCGCTTCATATGACTCAAAAGGCAAGAAGCAACACCAAGAAGAATATTTCCAAGAAAGAATTCATGAAAAGAAAGAAGAGAATGATCAGAGATATAGAATTTGACTACAAAAGTAAGGTCTTGACCTCACACCATAGTGGAAGATGATAAAGAATACATTGAAAAGAGATTGTTAAAGCAGATCCAACATGTCGATGCAGCCACTGAGATCCAGAAGTACGAAGACTGGCTTCTGTCTACCAACAACAAGAAGTTGCTTGGGTTCAAGTTCCAGCACATCAAGAAGCAACTATCTGATGAGATGAATGAGACTTTAGCAGAATATTTGAAAATTTAGTTCATTCAGCACATTTTTGCTAATCCGGGGTTTTGGGGTTTTGGGGTTTTGGGGTTTTGGGG